CAGTGCGCTGGCAGAAGGGCACTTCTCATTGTGTTCCTGAAGCGCTGTCCTGTGTGCCAGTTCAAGATCCTGCAGACTATGATGACTTGGATCCCCCCACGCCGCTGTGGTGTCTGCCCTCAATGCTATCTGTGAGGGGGGCAGTCGTTTGGCACCGCTCAAGGACCAGACCTTGGAGAAGGTGCGTGCTGCTGCGACACGGGATGTGGGGTACGCTGCTCTGAGGGACATAATTGTCACCGGCTTCCCTGAGCACCACTACGAGTTGGAACCACTCTAACGGCCATACTGGGCCATGCGTAGCCAACTGGCCCTAGACGATGACCTCATTGTGTATGGCCGCGGCTGCTTATACCCTACAGACTTTGATGGGAGACTCTGTCACACCTGCATGATGGTCATCAAGGGGTAAAGCGCACCAAACATTGGGCTCGGCAAAATACTTACTGGCCAGGGATCGACCAGGACATTGAGAATGTCGTTTCTAGTTGTTCACGATGCCGTCCCCTCCTCCCTAAGCAGCAGAACGAGCCCTTGTGGCAGGACGACGACCCACCAAGTACAGTGTTTGAGTCAGTTTCTGCTGATTACTTTCATGTGGCTGGCTGTACCTATCTGGTATATGTCGAACGTATGACCGGGTGGCCATATGTGTCATCTTGTCAGTGTCCTGCTGTCTGTTTTCGCAGACACGAGCGTGCCCGTCGTCCTGAGGACTGATGGAGGTCCCCAGTTCACATTTGCTCTAGAGTGGCAACGCACAGCTGATGAATGTGACTCCAGGACTGAGCACCTCAGAAGAAAGGCGAAATCACGACATGACTCCACGGCGCTACAGCTCTCCCGGCTGCACCTTGGCGCCTACTTCGACGTGCAGGCCCACCTGAGTAGTTGATGGGACCACGTAGGTGTTGTTGTGGGGGAGCTTGTTGGGATTACCTTGTCAAAATGGGAAGTGGCCGTATCCTGTGGAGGAACAGGAAGTTCCTCTGTCCCCATCGTCCGTTGGTGCCAGACAGCATCTTGGAATCTACATCCGAGGCGAGGGCTCCACCGGATCCAGACAGCATCCAGAGTCCTGCACCGCGCCCACCGCCATGCATAGGTGCAGAGAAGCATTCAAGCCTGCAGCTCCTGCCACGCCGTAGTGGCTGCCACCGGTGAGTTACACAGTGACTGGAAATGCGATGGGATTCTCAGACTTACGGCGATGATGAAAAGATGAAGTCAGACATCGTAGATCCAAAAGTCGGCCCCAATGTCTCGGTGGAGGTTTGTGGTGTTTATGTAATGCGAATGAGCCGAACGAGTGAACCACTGTATGGCGTGAATGAGTGTGTGCACGAGTGCTGTCCTCTAGTGGCGTGAATGAAGTTGGATGTCCGAGTAGTTAGATGACATAGCACGAGGTTTCGTGATCACGTGTATTACCTTGTGAGACAGATTGTTTCCTGCTGCACCATTGTACAGACCTCTCCCAGTAAACTGCATCTGTGAAGAATGTGTTTCATTGAGCTGTCAGTAACCAAGTAGAACTTGAACAGTAACTTGGCTAGGTTCAGTTCGGTTAGGTAGGTTTCTTTCTGTTCTTTTAACCCCCCTTATTAGTAGTGTTAAGAAAAGACTTTCCTTTATTAATAAGTTAAAATAAAAAAGCACTCAGCATTGATTCAGTTATATTGAAAATATATCAAAATAGTTTTCCTTAAAGAAAAATACTCAAAATAAAGAAGCGTCAGCGTTCTTAACATTTACCCTCTTGATCCTCTTGAACCCTAAACATGAAAGTGTTGTAACACATTACCATAACTCATTCAGTAACGAGAACATTTCTTACCTGGAAACTATTCATTGCAAAGAATCTCAAAGCAATCATCAGCTGATGAATGAAAGGTACAGTCAGTTCTGCTATAACGCGATAGTTGTGTTCTTGTAAAACATCGTGTTATAGAAATTCGCGTAATAGAAATAACAGGGCTTATGGAGAAAATAGGGTTAGGTGCAGATTACTACTCGAAATCGAAAAAAATTTAGTAGTTAGCCTAACACAGTCTAAATAAATGTTACATTCATATCTAATAATGAAATCATACAGTAAATGTAACACTTTACCTTGAAAAAATATGAATATAACTTGATGGGGGAGAACGGTTATTTTGAGGTTGATAACATCGAGCTTCTCTTCAAGGGTTATAGCCTTTCTTTTACGATCATCACCGGGAATGCGATCACCAGAACGCTTCTTGGAGATATTCTTCTTTACCATATTCACAGTTAATACCACAAAATTGGAGAAATAGTAAGCAAAAATCGCGTTACAGCAAACAATCGTTCGCATTATACAAATATCGTTCCTCTATTCATAAATCGCGTTAGAGCCAATTCGCATTGTCAAAACACGCATAATAGCAGAACTCACTGTAGGATTCTGCATATCTACAAAATTTCTAATTTGACAATATCACTGAAAAGTGCGCTCTCTGTCAAAATTCATATCACAGACAAAAGTTAGGAGAATATAATTTGCATTGCTAGAATCCTTGCAAGACAGCGAATAATTTGAATATAAATGTCATATATTTCGCACAAGAGATAAAAATTTTAGCCCTTTATCATAAAATTAATTAAAACATGTCAGTTCAGTGACATTTTATAAGAGAAAAACTTAAAGTCACTCTTAAGGACAGATAAATAAATAAGCACTAGATCTTGGCATCAACTTTCAAAGATATCACCTCACCTCCCCCCCCCCTCATCAGCTGATTGCTAGTAAGCTGACCCTTTCACGTCCCATAATTTTAGCTGTGTTGATTTATGAGTGTTTGTTTTAACATACTGGTAATACTACAAAAAACAATGTTTTGTTTATTCTAGGAGATGGGCTGAGGTGCATCTGGGTAGACTCTCAGTCTTTTTAGTATTTTGTTACTCTCAAGTACCAAATTAAATCATTCCATTGAAACAACACTTCGATTTAGTGCGAATTTGGTTTAAAGCGACCTCTCTTGGAATATATCTCGTGTTATATCGACGTTCTACTGTACTTAAAATACTTTGAACTTCAGGTAACTGACCCATAAATGGCAATCTGTAGCCAAGCAATGAAGATTCAGCAAACTAGTACTAGTGTGATGGTGAGATTTACTGCATTTTGCCTTTAGCAGTAACTTGTATCCTTCGGGCTTATTTTTAGATACTGTACTACAGTAAATCCCTGATATAATGGACACCTGCTTCAATGGACCCTCTGACCTGTTTGGACTAGGTTCATACTGTATGTTACGGATTCAGGTCCATTCAAGAAAAAATAACACTCTCAGGTCCATTATATTAGCCAAGTTCAGAATATTTTAACAACAGTATTCGACAATTTCCGAATTTTTGTGTTAGAATATTCGTTTGTTTTCTGCTCAGTTTGTTCATACCCAGTTACCATGCCTTGGGTGCCACATAAAATATTCTATTTATAATTACACAAGGGGATCTGGGTCACTTGAATTATCGATAAATCCAGTGCTTGAGAGATGGTGATTGATTGATTAATTGAATGTGGTAATTACATCCCTGGCGATGCAACAGTTTAGGCCATATGCTGCTGAATTAAAATAAAAGCTTAGACTAAAATAAAATAATGCAAGGTAAAAAACATAAATAATAAATAGCATAGAACTTTATAAAAAAAAAACAATTAAAAGTTATTAGATAAAGCCCAAAGCTTGTGTAGAAGGCCAGCTTCCTCCATAAAGGAGAGGATGTCCCCTCTCATGATACACCCCCCCCGCATCAAAGAGAGAGGGTAAGACCTGTCTCCCTCGGCACTTGGAGAAGTGCTTATGACGTAGATTTGTAAGACTAGGGCACTCCACCAGGAGGTGTCAAAGAAGTCTTGAGATATGGTGAGTGCTGGCAACATTGTTAGGGAGAACGGAAACGATCAGCTGTTTTGGAGGGAAAATTCATTAATGATAATTTAACTCGGTAAATCCATCTATCTAAACTAAAAAATCAGTACTTTTCAGAATTAAAAGTACTGTATGTTACAGTATGTACTGTATTTCCAAGATTCGACTTTGAGTTTGTGAGTTTGACCACCTTACATTGTGTGTGTTGCTGTCACCCACACGGTGGGTGAATCAGCCATCAGTCTACAACCACACACTCTTTAATGTAATAAATTGCTTTAAAAAGGTTGGCTTGGCAAATTAACATTAGTCACACATGTATTATTTTTATCATCTACTGTATTAATTTTTTTTTTAATTTTAAGTACTGTAATGTAAAATAAAAAATGTGGCAACTTTCCAGCAGGTAGCCAGCCAGCAGCACAGACTGAGATTGGAGAAATTTACTTTGCTTATGCGTAAATATTTATGGCACTTGATGCAACTACTGAATTTTGGTATTTTAAAACATACAAGCATGAAAACAATATATGCTTGTATTTATTATAAATACCTAAATTTCAAGAGTATGAAGTGCCATAAATATTTGTAAGTAGGATAATTGGGGACACGTGACCAGCTACACTGCTCAGCTCACATGAACACCAGCACTACACACCCCTGACACAAGACAGTCATTGAGTTATATGCCTGAGAGGTATTATAGTTAGCCACTAAACAACGAGGAATAGAATGATAGTGGCGGTGAAGCTTGTTATATAATTTTTTTCTCCTGGTGGTGGGGGAGAGGGGGGCGGACCAACCATTCTTAGGGCTAAACTGTGCAAGTGAACCGTCCTTCAAGCACGGTAAAAAGATCATAGTCACTTCGGACTTTTGGCTTTAACAGACCAGCCTTCTCCCCAGTTTGTCAGTTATATTAGGGGCTTACTGTATCTGGATATGAAACAAAGGCATAAACTACTTTTGTGATTAGTTCCAGTCATAGCTGGAGTTCTGGGAAACAGGAGTTTTCAACCCAGAGGTTTGCTAAGTACATAAGACACATTCGAACTAAGCATAAGAAGAAAATGAAAATCTCTCTCTATAGATAATTACTCCTTTAGGCTGAAGGGTTTTCAAGGCATGTAACATTTCCAGGCGTCGCTCTTCTATGTCCATACTGTCAGCAATCAGAAGGGGATGTACACCAACAGTGCACACCCAATGACTCTCCTTCATGCGCTTAATACTCTCGCTGCTGGGGGCTGGTCGAGACTTAACATACTGCTTGAAGGCATTGCTTATCACATTTTGCATATTTGTCTGGAAAAGAAAAGTCAAATGACAATTAATTGTGCCTAAAACTTGTTTGATGCTCATACTGTCATTGTAATATTGTCATTTCTCTCTTTAAAAGTTGCAATGTGTGTGTGTGTGTGTGTGTGTGTGTGTGTGTGTGTGTGTGTGTCAAGTAAAAGAGGAAGGGTAGAACTCCGCGAAAATGATTAAAAGAAAATGTGGAGATATCATTCAAAAACTAAAAAATACCATGGATAATGCTGCGCACAAGCTATATCTATAAATGGCTATAAAGTTAGATAAGAGTAAGAATATAAAAGCTTCTCCACACAACTTATTCTATGAGAGGATGGGTGGAAATTTGGTTTTAGCTTTGAGGAACCTTTCAGGCATAATGGAGAGAATATCTAATCATCCACAAGTTGACAATACCACTCATCATAAGGAGCATGGTGGTCGAGTGGATAAATGCTCTTGCCTTTTGTTCCAGGGGTTGGTGGTTCGTTTCCCAGATTCACCCAGTTCACTCAACCGTAAATGGGTATCCAGTGCAGTACCGACCAGGCTGCCTCCTTGTGTACTGAAGGCTCAGTATACAGTGTGCTGTATCCACACTGTAGCTAACAGGCAGCATGCATATGGGACCCACATTCCCTTTCACTCATCATACATTTAAAAACTGTGATGTTCAACAACATGACATCTCATTCTGAGGTTGTCGAACTTGAAAGTTTTGTTCAGGAAAAACAGAATGAATACATTTCCATTTCTCTGAAAGGTGGATGAAACTTGTACACTTGTAACTGTTTCATACCATTTATTTCATACAGATGTGACTTTAAACAGAATATTCCATTAAACAATTTTCACTGCCTTAACTACCTCCAAGCGGAAAAGTACATGTGATATACACTACACCAGTTTTATTTTAGCATCACCATCATTCTTTTGATGATCACAAAATTTTCAAGATCATACCAAAATGTCTCCTAAGTTCAAAGCGTGGGCTCATCAATGAAGGGACAGTCTAAGAAACAATTATCTTCTCAAGTTCTGATGAATACATTGCAGAAAAGATGATCAATCTGACACGCATGATTATTAAACAGTTGGCAGGGCTATGGAGCCTAGGAAAGGAGTGTTCAGTTACGCTATTGATTTGTATAATTACTTACTTTTTCCGATAATCATTCATTTTTAGGCATTCAGTAAGTCCGTGCTTAACATTGTCCCGCTTAACGTTGTTTCGGTACTACGTCGCTGAACTTTTAGAGACCAAAAATTCGTTTAACGTCCCGGTGATCCGATACTACGTTGTTTTGCGTTGTCACAGACTACATTTACGGTGCATCACCCTCTCTCATCTGGCCGCGCTATGCTCTCTCGGCTTGGCGCAGTCTCAGTGACTCACCACCCTCCTCCTCCGCTCCCGCCATAGTCCTCCCCTCCTGCCATCCTCCTCCTCTGCTTACCCACCACACACTCGCTCTACCACCTCTGCCCATCGGTGAGTACCAATACAAACTTAGTAGTTGTATATGTATGCACCCTTTTATATAGAAATGGCAATGATTTTCTGTATATGTAATGTATTTCATGGGGCAAAGGGAGGCTCAGGAACATAACTCCCATATTTTATCAATTTCTTATCGGGAAAATTGATCCGCTTTACGTTGTTTCGTTTAACGTCGCGTTTTTAGGAACGTAACCTCGACATTAAGCGATGACTTACTGTATGTGTCTGTATTCCACAACGAGAATAGTAAGTCCACTACAGTAAAAGTCCAAAAATCCGGATGCCAAAAATACGGACCACCCGAGAATCCGGACTTTTCGAAAACTTTCAAACTTTTTAAATTTAGCGGGCTTTTGTGGGTTACGTGAATGAATGGAGTTGTTTTAAAAAAATTAATTTACATAATTCTAATAATAAAAGTAATTGTAAATTATAGGTAGCTAATTTTGCTAGTTTTGTAATTAGCTTGTCCTGAAATGTAAAATTTGAGGCACTATAAATCTTAATAATAATAATAATAATAATAATAATAATTATTAACGGTTTATTGAAAAAATTCTGCAGCCCGAAGGCTGAAAATATACATTGGACATAAATGACATTACATACATTGGTAGTTTAACAAAAGCCTTCATTAGAGAAAGGTAAAGGAACATACAGTGAACATACAGATTAATGTAGGTGTTGAACAGCAAACTTGTAGTGTAGTAACTTCCTCCCAGATGGTGTTAGGAGGACCTCACGTGGTGTAGTAGTTCCCTTAGAAGGTGTTATGAGGGACCTGGCGTGGTGTAGTAATTCCCTCGCAGATGGTGTTATGAGAGGCCTCACGTGGTGTAGTAACTCCCTCACAGATGGTGTTATGAGGGGCATTACGTGTTGTAGTAATTCCCTCACAGATGGTGTTGAGGGACCTCACGTGGTGTAGTAATTCCCTTACAGATGGTGTTATGAGGGACTTGACGTGGTGTAGTAATTCCCTCACATATGGTGTTATGAGGGACATGTGGTGTAGTAATTCCCTCACAGATGGTGTTATGAGGGACATGTGGTGTAGTAATTCCCTCACATATGGTGTTATGAGGGGCATGTGGTGTAGTAATTCCCTCACAGATGGTGTTATATGAGTGAGGTTTGGTCTTAGGCCTTCCTATCGTAGACGGATTAACACATCGCTGGTTGTTGTTGGGTCTCATGGGCCGTTATCACTGGGTACCTGGGACCTCACTGTGTGAAGGTTAACTTGGGTACGACTGTTACTGTGTATGTGTGCATGCATGAACGCCACAGCTACACAGCGACAACAAGCGACCACTCGATCGCTACTTAAAAACAAGCAATCAAACTGAGACAACGTATGTAATTTTGAGTCCTACTCTTTCCATTTACAAGCCCATAATAATGGCTCCTAAAGTAGATAAGCTTCGTTGGGTGAAGAGAAAGAAGAACACATTGAAATTGAGTGACAAACTTGAAATACTTAAGAAACTAGAACGTGGTGTGAGCAATGCTGTTCTAATGGAAACATACGACATTGGAAAGTCAACAATTTATGATATAAAAAAGGCAAAGAATAAAATTCTAGAATTCACAACTTCTTCTGAGCCTTACAATAAAATTGCTGAAAGAAAAAGTTTACATCGGCCCAAATTAGAAAATCTTGATAAAGTGTTGCACGAATGGTTTTTGTTAAAACGATCAGAAGGTATGGCAATTTCTGGGCCGATGCTTATTGCCAAAGCAAAGTCTTTTAAGGAGCAAATGAACATTGAATCAGAGTGCGCATTTAGTGATGGATGGCTTAGGAATTTCAAGACTCGTCATGGTATTAGACAGTTAGATATTGCTGGAGAAAGACAGTCGGCTGATACACAAGCAGCAACAAAATATAGTGCAACATTTGAAAAAATTGTAAATGACTATGATCTCACAGCCGATCAAATTTATAATGCTGATGAAACAGGGGTTTACTGGAAGTGTTTGCCCACAAAAACTTTGGCTGGAAACCAAGAACGAAATGCAACAGGTTTTAAGCTTAATAAGGAAAGATTAACCGTTCTTGTATGTGCTAATGCTTCAGGTCAGCATAAAATTAAGCTTTTGGTGATTGGCAAATTTAAGCGCCCACGGGCCTTTAAAGGAATTGTGCACTTGCCTGTGACCTATAAAGCCCAAAAGAGTGCTTGGATGAACAAAGACATATTTCACGATTGGTTTGTTCATGATTTTGTTCCATCAGTTCGTCAGAACTTAAGGAAATTGGGGAAGCCTGCAAATACAAAGTGCCTGCTACTTCTCGACAACTGTAGGGCCCACCCGCATGAATCAAAATTAGTCTCTGATTGCGGGAATATTTATGCATGTTACTTGCCACCAAACGTAACATCATTGATTCAACCCATGGATCAAGGAGTCATTAGGAACTTTAAATGTCACTATAAAAATGATTTTATGACGAAAATGATGAATAAGAATGTCAACCCTACAGAATTTCAATGTAGTTTTACGATCAAGGATGCAATATTTTCACTAGTGACTGCATGGAATGCAGTCACGAGTGAAACACTTTTAAGAGCGTGGCGAAAGTTGTGGCCGAAAGTGATGTTTGCAGATCTAGTGTGTGATCAAGACAAAGATTTTGAAGGATTCCACATAAAGCAGAGGGCATCTGAAGTGCAAGAACTGATGGAGACTGTTAAATTATCTCTGAAAGACAACCCTCTACGCAAGCTTAATGCTGCTGACATAGAAGAGTGGATACACATTGACGATGATATTGAAGTTGCTGCCACTTTCACTGATCAAGAAATCATTCAAAGTATTACAACTCCTGATAAGATTGAAGAAAATTGTTCAGAAGAATCTGGTGAAGAAGACGACAAAGTTGAAGAAAAGATATCTTGGGCTGCTGCAGAAAAGGGCATTGAAACAGTTATTAAATTTGTGGAACAGAACCATAGCTTCAGTCTTCAAGACGTCATGCAGGCACACATGGTGCAGAATAATCATATCACAAAGAAATTACAAAGTCGTAAACAAGGTGATATACGAAAGTATTTAAAGAAAGCAGTGTCAAGCAGTGCAGTAGAAGTTGCAAGTGTTCCATCCACAAGCAGTGCAGCAGACGATATAGAAGTCGTGGAAATCAACGAATAAAAATTTATTTGTTGTTTTGTACTTTGTATTTATAGGAAAATGTTTCGTTAATAAACTACAAATAAATAAGCAATTAGTATAAAATAAATTCTGCTTTCATTTGTTTACTGAATTTTTCTTTTACAATGTTCATTTTTAAACATGATTTCAAACATTACACGCCCCTTTTTTCGTAGTGAAAAATGTTTGTTTACATTTTTGTCAAGTGTTGACTTTATTTTTCTTTAAAACTGCTCGTTTTGATAAATGAAGCATGCTTTACTTGCTTATGAATAAACTCTCAAAATGTACCTGTTCATCTCTTCTTTATTCCTCCTTAAATTTGAATTTTAAAAGTACCGCCTGAGAATCCGGAAAATCCAAAAATCCGGACCGACCCAATCCCCAAGCAGTCCGGATTTTTGGACTTCTACTGTATTTCGAACAATCATTAATTGGACAACTTGAAGCTTGTAACTAGAAAGGCGTAGCCACTGACTAGATGTAGTCGTGGTTATAATTTCAATACAATCCGCCAGGTCTCAATATTCATCGGCCAAAGCTGGGAAGATACTTGTTTCTTAGACTGTTCTGTACACAACTATAACTGACAGGGTATAATTGAGAACAGCTAAAATTGTACTTACTAGTTCTGTTGAAGTTTTGTGCATGTGTATGATCTGTTCAGCTTCATTATCCAAGAGTGTTTGTGGTACAGAACCATACATATAACTCCAATCATCTTTCTTGCTCTTATCTGGAGGGTGGGGTGCAAATCTGAAATTAAATTACTTTTATTATGAAAAAGTGAATGGAGATCCCCTAGGCTTAAAGGCTTGATAGGGATACTGCAGATACAGTAGAATATATTCTAAGTCTTTGGTACAAAAGGAAGCAGTAATGTACAACTGGCACTGCTCAACTTGCTTCACTTTTCCAATTTTACAGCTACAGTGTAGATGAACTGGGGATTACTTGGACATGAGTCATTGACTATTAGGACAGGAGGTGAATGCTGTATCCACTTGGCTGTTGCACACCTTACCCATATTAACAAGCATAGCCCCAATTACAAAAGGGATTCATTCCAGAAAAACTCTTCACAAAACTTTTTATTTTCAGACTCCCACTCCCACTATAAAAGCTGGAGGGTAAAAAAGTTTTATACTAATGCCAAAAGTTCTACAAAATTTGTTTCTTTAATGAAAATTTTTGGTTTATACAATAATTATAAGCTAATAAAAAACATAATAAGTGAAAATACATACAGTACAGTAACACAAATACACCTCAATATATGTTGCCATGCTAAACAGTTGTTGACCATTATAAGATGGGGTTGGGGACTTCAAAAAAGGCATTGTCAGGTGATTGCTCGTATATTGATATTAATAACATATGGAGAAATATAGGTTCCATTCCTGAGACCTGAAGAGCCAGAGTTATCACTCAGAGTGGTTATTTTTCAACTCGTAATTTCAGGTAGACATCAGTAATTTTCTTAATTTTTTCTGTTACATACACACACAATCTTTCATACAGAACTTGAAAAAAATATAAGGTCAAAAACATCAAGAAAATAACTCTTTTCTTATATGTGCGGGATCACACAGAATAGGGTAGGGGGGAGTTGAGTGGGGCTTTTCAGCTGTTCTCTGTCTCATGTCCCATGTGTAGTGACACAATTGCCAAATGGCAATGTAATTTTTTTTTAATCTATTCCTCACATTTACTGGTATAGTATATGTATATTATTTTATGTACAAAGAATAGCTTCATCACTCGATCACTCGAGTTTCGCCATTCCAGGATTGTGCCATCATATCTCGGAATATTGCGAGTTATTGCATATCACTTTTCCATAGCAGGGGCAATGCAGGAAAAGCATTTGGGTAGCAACCATCGTAAAACTGACATTAGCCATCGCACAGCAGTAAATAGTGTTAATTTTTTTAACATCGTACAACTGATCGATCGTATATTGGTCAACACTTATACATTGTTTCGTTTAATGTTGTTTATTAACCCTTTCTATGCGATTGCCACAACCAATGCAGTAAACGCCAGTGTGATCAGTGTGATCACCGCATACTATGTGGCACTGTAATAATTCTCCCAGCCAGATTTTCAATCACATTGCCAGATAGACTCATCCCATTTGACCAACTGACATGTAGGGAGGCAGCCATGACCCACAAATTATCCCTAGGCCTGCCAGTGTCTTCTCAGCCATGACCAAGAGTAGGATGTATCCAGGCACCCCCACCGCACTCTGAGTGCCCACGAAATTGAGGAGCAATTATGGTTGTCTGGTAGTGTTACATATGTGGATGACCCCATGATATGATAATAGTGTGTGTCTATGTGTGTCTGTGTGAGCACACAAATATTAGAAATTCTAGTATGAAAGTATGTGTCCATATATGCAAGTGAGTGATGAAATGAGATGTATTATGTCCAATTTGAGTGTGTTTGTAAATGAGTTTCCATAATTGTGTGAGTGTATACAGGCAGTCTCCGGGTTACGAACGAGATCCGTTCATGGGGATGTTAAGTAGAAAATGCATGTATGTTGAAACACACACTATGTGTATACCTCACAGAAAAAATTTAAAATCCCATAATATCATAGCCTAAATCCTTTTATACATCTAAAAACACTAAATTTAAGAGAAAAGAAGAAATAGAATGACAAAACACAGCAAATGAAAGAAAAAATATAGTCCAGCAAATGAAAGAAAAAATATAGTCCATCAGGTAAATATAATACTGTACTGTAAATTTAAAGTTTAACCTTGTTCATATCAGCAGATGATTTGTAACCAGGGGACTGCCTGTATGCAGATATAAACAATAAAACCCTCTTAATCAGGATGAATTGAGGGGAAATCCAGTTCATATTCAGCAAATTTTTAGATAAAGCTATTTCTGGAGGGGGTTTATTTAATCCAGAAAAAGTCTGGATTAACATAGAAATATTCAGATGGCAATCCGGATTGCCGTCTGGTGCATGTGAATGCCAGCCCCAACCGCTTTGTTTAAAAGCCAGTCATGCTGCTACAGCCCTCGTGTTTGCATCTCTTAACTCCTGTAGACTATTTGTGACTTTGTGGACTAATTACCATAACTTCAAAAGAAAGTCAGAAGAGGGCCAGAAAGGAGTTTAGCTTGAAGGACAAGCAAGATTATATACTGTTAGTTAGTGATTCAAGTGATTTAAAAGTTTTTATATATTTTTGCCACGGTGTAAGTAGATCTGGACTATTTCATGTTAATCCGGACTCAATCCGGATTAACAGAAATTAGTCTGGAGTTGTTTGCCAGTCCGGATGAAGGAGAAATCCAGATTAAGAGGGTCTTACTGTACAGTATTGGTAAAACTCTGTGTGGTGATGCCTTGAGATGGTTTGGGTATGTGGAGAGAATGGATGAGACCAAAAGGTTCAAGAGGTGCATAAGCCTAAATGTAGAGGGGAGGAGAGCCAGAGGTAGACCAAGAATGACTTGGGGTGAGTTTATAAGAAATTACATTAGAGTTAAGGACTTGACACGAGAGACTGCAAGAGACTGTGCAGTGTTGGCGAGCTAAACCATGCAAGTGTGGAAAATGGATGTAAAATGTTGGTGATGGAGATATAAGAACAGAGATAAAGTGATAAAAACTGAAAGTAGATAAATAAAAATAAAATTTTTTATACAAAATCTGAAAAGTGCTTAATATCTCGGTAAAGCTATAACTTTGGGTAGGTATTGACACAAGTGATACAAACCTGATTTCCTTTGAAAGAAAGAGATGTAAATCCAAAAGGTATGCAGCCTCATCTGGTGCAACAAAAGAAAAGGCAACACCACTCCTCCCAGCTCGAGCAACTCTACCTGTGGACGAGAATTATGTTACACTTTATGACTTGCTTAGTTTTTATACAAGTTAAGGCCTTCATCCCACAAGTAAACGGTCCTGGTTTTGATCACCAGTTGAAGTGGAGGATCTGATTCCTACCTTGTGCACTAACCTTTGCACACTCAACAATTAGGTGAGTATACTATGCCTGTATGGTGCATTAACCACTAGCTGTTAAATGATAAAAATTAGGAGTTCAGCATGTATCTTGCCACCCTGCATAGTGATTCTGTAGCTCTGTGGTAAAGCTGATTCATTGCAAGTAAAGGGTCCTGAGTTCTCTCCTACACCAATCCTTTGACAATCAAATATAAAATAGGCACAAAACTGGGTACTGCTGCTGATGGTGGAACAACAGTTCATTGTGCTTTGAGCAAGGGGCAGTCCATTAGCCACTGCAAATTCTGTACTTATTCTTTGTTATACATGATTTAGTTGTGCATCTGACACACATTTGGCTGAGCATTCAAAGTTACACTCATGTTTTTTTGCAAATATGTAATCACAACACCCATAATTCATTTCCCTCAAACAATTATGTAACATTCTCACATCAACATCTCCCAGAAGAAAATGAAGCAATGACAGTGACAAAGGTGCTAAGTGCCAATGGTGGAGAAGAAAGCGAGGAGTCTTGGATAAGCTTGTCACTGGTCAATAGGGTTGGTGCTTACCACAGGATCTGTCTTGAGCACTTAGTAAATAATATTGTAGAACATTGATCAGAACTTAATAAATATTGTTGTAGTGTATAATGCATCTCCATATGCCCTGGTTTATTCACTGATCAGTTGTTTAAGTGCAAAATTAGCCAAATTGAGCCATCATGTATCATAATTTAAAATAGAAATTAGAAATTAAAATGTTATAAGACAAAGGTTTAGTAGTACTGTTAATGCTTTTGCTGTGTAAGTGCCTTGTCACGCCACTTCACCTGTCTCGTCACCTCACCCTTCACAGTCAGTTCACGTTGCAGTGTTACGTAAATTTATTACTGTATTATTTACTTATTATTACTTTATGTATTTATGTACATTTAGAATATATTTTTGTTCACACAGTATTTGTAAACAGATTATTTTATGTGGCTGCCATGGCAAGGCGCAAAAATTGAACAGAAAACAAATAATTTGAGTGACCCAGAGGATCCTTTTTATTGAATTAACTCTCTCACGTACGATGACTTGATTCGCGTCATATTCATGACAAGACCAAGTTCACAGTGACGCAAATTGAGTCACCAAACTTTAAAAAATTTACCAAAAATTAAGTTTTCAACAGAATTGCATAAATTTTTAATGTGTCAATAATAGCAAGTAATTTCTATCAAATAAATTAATTGGTAACTCTCAAGGCCCATACGCAGGGAAGACCGGAACAATAAATGCACAGTATTATCTCAGCAGTCAGATCATGAGTGTGAGTCACGTCCATTTAAATTTCCATAACTCCGTGCAGGCTGCCTCAACTCCTGGATGACAGTGTTTACCCTACTCCCTGAAATAATTTCTTTTTAGTGTTAGAGAAGTGAAGTGATGGTTGTGTAATGTAATATTATTTTCATACTTACAAGGAAAGTGTTTAGTTTTGAAAAGCCTTTACCATATCAGGCGATACAGTAGAACGTCGATATAACACGAGACATGTTCCAAGAGAGGTCGCTTGAAACCAAATTCGCACTAAATCAAAGTGTTGTTTCAATGGAATAATTTACATTGGTACTTGAGAAAACACAAAATACTAAAAAGACTGAGTCTACCCAGATGCACCTCAGCCAATCTCCTAGAATAAACAAAAATTTTTTTTTTTGTAGTACCTGTATTATGTTAAAACAAACACTCATAAATCAACACAGCTAAAATTATGGTACATGAAATGGTCTGTTTACTAGTGAATAGTTTATTATAAAATGTTACCTTTGGTTTGTTTAATAATTATCCTAACAGTGATACAGCCAAAAACAGATCCACCAATCACAATCACCTTTACAACAGCCTTCCTTTACCAAGTATTGCCAGGTAAAATTGCAAACACGAGACCCAAAGTAGGGTCGGTGCATCTTTGGCTGACTGTACATTAACAGGTGCTCAGAAAAACTATTCTCAGTTAGATAAAGAAGCCCTAAGCATTGTATATTGTATTCAGAAATTCAGACAGTTCCTTTACGGCCGGCAGTTCACGTTGATTACAGATCACTGCCCACTGGTTTCCTAGTTCAGACCAGAAAAACCTGTTCCACCACATGCATCTGCCAGACTGCAAAGATGGGCACTTAAGTTGGCTTCATACAGCTACAAGATATAATACAGGAACACGGCTGCTCATGTTGATGCAAGTACATGTCAAGAGTCCCTCTGGCTACAAAAGTGAACTGTGACAGTGAGGTTGTAAATTGCTACTTTGAAACAGACATCCTCACAACTGTAACACATCAAATGACCAAGAAGAAAACTGCAGTAGATCCAATATTATCCAAAGTTCTGAAATATGCTCAGTGTGGATGGCCAAGTACTGATGATTGTGATCCAAGATTACAACCTTTCCTACAGAGTCGAGATGAACTCAGCATTGAACAAGGGTGTGTTCTATGGGGACTTCGTGTCATAATTCCCACTGCACTGCAATGGGACATACTTCGAGAACTACACGAGACACACCTAGGCATGACAAAAATGAAGGCAGTGGCAAGGTTCTATGTATGGTGGCCCAATCTGGACAAGCAAATTGAAGGAGTTGTTTCTTCATATCAGGTAATGTCAATACATGAGGGCAGATCCGCCTACTGCACAAATTCATCCGTGGACTTTTCCATCCAAACCTTGGTCAAGACTTCATGCTGATTTTGCAGGTCCAGTTTCAGGAAAGATGTGCTTTGCACAGTAAAGCCACCGATATTGACGGTTCGACCAACGACGATTCATATTTAAAACCCTAGTTAATTTAGGACCCAATTCAATTCACATCATTATTTTATCCGTATTTCCGACGAAAATATAATAAAAAATAAATAAAATAAAATTTTCATATAAATAATAATTAAATCCCAATATGTATTATAAAAAAATAAAAATAATGCAAAAAAAAAAAGGAGCTCAATGTGCAAAGAAGCTGCCAGGCAAGGGAAGCTGCTGGGCTATATGAGCGGTAATGCGCATCACCAGTAAACAAGAGTCGGAACTTGGCGGTCCCATTGCTTTCACGCATCTGAACAGGAGAAAAACTTTCTCAGGTTTCTTATGGCAATTTTTTGCGTCCCTATTCAACATGAGCAAGAGAGCAAGTGATGGTAGTTCTGGTTCAAAAGCTAAAAGAAAGTGGATAAGCTTAGCCGAGAAACTTGATGTGTTACAACGATATGAAAAAGGCAAGAGGTCTGTGGATATTTCGCGTGCTTTGGGGATGGCAGAATCAACAGTGAAAACTATCCGTAAAATTGGAGAAAAAATTACTGAAAGTGATCTGTCTACAACTCTGTTAAGTGCAAATAAAACCTGCCAAAGCAGGAGTGGGGTTATGGAAGAAATGGAGAGAATTTTAAGTATATGGACTAAAGACAAAATCAGACGCATACTCTGAACACTGTAATTATTCAAACAAAAGCCCTAGCATTGTTTAATGATCTTAAAAATTCAAGTAAAAGTGAAAGTGCTAAAACAGAAGAGTTCAGTGCGAGTCGAGGCTGGTTTGCTAGGTTCAAACAACGCCACGGATTACATAATTTAAAAGTCACTGGTGAGGCAGCAAGTGGTGATTCATCTGCTGCTGCTGCTTATCCAGAGAACTACACAAAATAGTCGAGGAAGGCGGCTACTTGCCCAGCCAAGTTTTTAACGCTGATGAAACTGGACTATATTGGAAGAGAATGCCTTCCCGGACATATATTTCCATGGAAGAAAAAGCTGCACTAGGATTCAAAGCAACGGAAGATCTTATCACACTCCTCTTGGGTGGTAATGTAGAAGGTGACTTTAAACTCAAACCTCTCACAGTATATCACTCTGAGAACCCTAGAGCATTCAAAGGTGTGTGTAAACAAACTTTACCGGTACAGTAATTTGCGGTCAAACAATAAAGCATGGATGACAATGACTCTTTTTGTTGATTGGTTCAAAAAATATTTTTGCCCAGCATTAAAGGAATACTGTGCCAAGAAAAACATAACACACAAGGCACTGCATATATTAGATAATGCTCCAGGCCATCCAGCTCACCTAAATGAATTGTCTGAACATGTACAAGTCGTTTTTCTTCCACCGAATACCAAGTCCATGCTTCAACCTATGGACCAAGGCGTTTTATCATCATTTTAAGGCCTATTATTTATGCCGAACCATGTCTCAACTGATTGGAGAAAGAGATGGTGCTGGAAAGCCGTCCATAAATGAATTTTGGGGTGGATATCATATTCTAAAAGCTGTTAAAAACATTGGACAGTCCTATGGAAGGAAGTAACAGATGACAACATGAATGGTGTGTGGAGGAAATTGTGGCCGGAATGTGTAAAAACCGTCAAAGGTTTTGAGGAAACCATGACAAACATTCAAAGAAATATTGTTGAGCTTGCCAAGTACATTGTAGGATTTGAAGATGTTGATGAAGAGGATGTTCAGGAGCTGTTAACCAGTCACGAAGAAGACCTAACCAACGAAGAACTTATACAACTTGAACAAGAACAACATGACCAGATCACAAACACACCAACAGATACCCCTACCTCATCTCACAAATGTATGACTAAGCATTTGGCAGAAGCATTTGCTCACATGGAGCAAGCGATGAACATATTTTCTGAAATGGATACATTAACAGAACGAAGTATTAAAATAAACAGGGATGTGAAAAATGCATATGACCTCTACATGAAGCTGTATAATGAAAATAAGAAAGCAGCTGTGCAAGGTTCTTTAGACAATTTATTATTCGAAGGCCTAAACCATCAACCTTGGCTACACCATCAGCTACAGCTACACCATCT